GACAGGAGCTTGACTTCGGACTTGCAGCTTCCCAAGAATGTTTTTGTCTAGAGAGCAAAGTTCCTGAGCAGAATCTAAAGTCATAGCAATATTTTTCTCAGTCTGTTTGAATCTGTGATCTCTAAAAATTTCCTAGTAGAGCTGCTTTGGAAGCTTCCCATGCGCATAGATTACTGTGTAGCATCTATGAATCTAGTTCCTGTTCTTGCATGCCTTAAAAATGACTGCTCAAACTCTCAAGTGAACCCATAATAGGCAGAAACACATGGATCCAAATGCAGTGGGACCCTCAGGAAAGTCACTCACCAGCCTGACTATTATTGCCTTAGTCTTTGTTTTGGACAAAACCAAAGTACAGTAATTGTTATTTTTAAACTTTGAAAGAATGCCATGTAAGATGTAAATATGTTTCTTGTCCCAGAAGATTTTTAAAATCTAGTTTTTTGATTAATTAGTGCAGCTACCAAAGAAGCATGAGCTCTCAGATTAATCTGAGGCCCACTAGTTCTGGAGTCTGAAGCTCTTCAAGCCCTGCTATAGAAACCATAACATGGCTCTGCAGCTATGGGACAATTCCACAGCTGACAGCCTCTCATTTTGTGATGAAAAGCCTCATAAAAGAAAATTTCAATATTTGTAAAATAAAAATTCATATTTCTTATTGAATATTTTTTTCTTCTTGTGGGAAGTATCACTAAGCAATAAGAAATTGTAAAGATATTAGAAATAAATGAACAAAAAAGTGGTTTAGTTTTATTTAGAACTTATACATCTTTGGAGTTCTAACTTTTGATATTATCCTTGGCGTGATCAGAATAAACACATAATAAGTTTCCAGTTCATTATCTTCAAAAACCTCCTGGGCAATATTTCTGTTTTTCATTACTGATGTCACACTGATGCTCTCTTTCAGCTAAATGCTGCCCACAAATATGTGCAGTTCATTCACATGTGCATTATTGTGAAGGGAGTAAAGGAAAGCAAAGCCTGACATGGGGATTTTAATACCCCTTTTAGCTATAATGCCTCTGAATTTAAATTTGTGTGTCAAAGTACTTCACACCACTGAGACACTCTTGACAGGGCAATTTTCCCTAAGTGGTCCTAAGTTGTGCCCACCCATCAACACACTCTTGATCCTACTGTTAAATCATTGAAAACCAAAAGGAACAAAATAAAACAAAATACCCACCCATGAAATCTCAGAATAAAGAACAGGGTTTTTTCTGGTCTGGATAATTCACTGCAGTGAAAGTTAATTTTTAGTTCAAGCAGATCTTTCAGCATCGGGATCTTTGCTGGCCACAGAACCGTTTCCAGCACATTTCAGAAGATTTTAATCAGTACCAAAAAAAAGTTCCCATCTTCTTCTACATAGCCATGCAGAGCAGCGAGATCACCTTTAGGAGGAGCCTCATCCCCTCTGTACAGCTAACAAAAACTCTCGGTGGCTCCGGCAAAGCTGTTAGAACTTCACCTCACAAAATATGGTTTCACTAGCAAAGATTCTGAAAAAGATGGAAAATAACAAAAAGCAACTTCATGAAATCTATTCCATAATCTTTTCTCAAAATAATCTGCTGTATATTAACCTCTTGTGATGGATGCTTGTCTAATTTGTTCGTTAACACTTTAAAGGATGGTGTAGTATTGGTTAGCACAAATATTAAGAATGAACATCAAATCTTTAACATAAACAGCCTGACAGAAATAAAAAAGAACCAGAGGCAGTGGAGATAGAAATCTGCTGAATAGTAAAAGCAGTTTAGAAACAAATATTGTTACTTTGAGGACACAGTGAAGAATAGAAAGTTGGTTCTCTATGGAAGAGAGAAGAAACAAATTTGCTTAGGGGTGATCGCAAGAGTGCTTCTAAGAGAAATCAGGATCAGACTTAACTGAAAGGAGGAAAGGGCAGAAAGCTGAATAGAAGGCCAGCTTTTACAAATTTAAGCCAACCCTTCTAATCTTGCTACCTTTGTAAGTCTGTCTGCTCACTTCTTTCACTCCCCTCTTGGGCCAAGGAAGGTAAGGTAGCACCTCATTAATTTGCATCATTAATGAACTTTATTCTGCATTAATCTCATTCATATTATTTGTCAGAGCCTTGAGAAACAGAGGGAATGTCCAAATTGATCCTTAGTGTCTGGACTTGTCCTTTGTGTAATTTGAGCACTGGCCCAAGAAATGTCATTGTCTAATTGACTTCACATCTTCAGTCAGCAACTGGACCCAGCACTTACCAGTCACCTTAGAGATTAAAAGTTTCTTAATGGACAACCTAATTCTCCTTTCCTACAGGTTAAGTCTCTGTAGGCACAAAGAAAACATTATTCCATTCCCCTTCAGAGATTTCTCTAAAATCATTGAAGTCCATACATTGGTATCTCCACCCAATCTTCCCAATTCCCAAACTACATAGCCCATATGCCATGGTTTTTTTGCATGTCAGATCATTCCCACTTTCCTCTGAGTTTGTTCCAATCTGACATTATTTTCTCAAAGGGCAATAAGGAAAACCTGGCCTGATACTGCAAGCTCATCACGGTGAAGTTGCATGCTAAACTATTTCAAGTGCCTCCTCCTCCCTGTTAAGCATGCCAGATGCAAACCTTTTCCCATAGCAATATGACCCCTGTGAGGAGTTACTTAACCAAACTTGTTTAACTTGAACTGCAGTGGAAAAGGAACACCTGTGGAGGCAGTCACTGCACTCAGCAAAGGGACACTAAGAGAGTAATTTAGCAAGAGGGATTAGCATCCTTATTTAACTCCACCTCTAGTATTCACTCCCTTCAGTATCAGCCATGTACTTTGTCCCCTGCATGATTAATATTTTCAGTGATGTGACTGAAGCAGATTTTGTTAATTTTTCTGGCCTCCTCACTTCAGCCTGCAGTTTGTTTTCTCTCCCTGTAAAAGAGTGGAAAGAGTCTACCTCTTACAGCTACTGTCTTTATGCTGGGTGTTGTCTTGTCACATTAGTTTTTAATGACATCTCATTTGATTGCTCTGACCTGCCAGTTTTGGCACCTGCTCCTGGTTTGTATTCTTCCTCAGTAGGTTTTGTGCAAATCTCATCTGTGTCCTGTCTTGCTAATGTTCAAATACGCTTCTTTCTCAGGAGCCCAGCTGCTAGGTCAGTGATTTTACCAATCTGATAGTTCTACTGCTGCTTACAGTAAAGGGAAAAATTGGGGGGGGGGAGGGGGGGGAAGGAGTAAGGAGTATTTGGAGTATTTGTGCAGCTTGTAAAACTACAGGCAATACTCTTCTCTCCTTTTCAGATGAGCACAGTCTTTAAAAGGACATGTTTTTCCTGTTACTCTTGTACATCTATGTTTGCATTAGTTAAGCATCTGTGTTTGCATTAGTTACAACAACTAATGCAAATTGAAGCACTAATGCTGCTGGAGGAGCTTGTCCTTGCAAAGCACACAGCCCCTGCCTCAGAGCTGTGGCAGGCCTTGCAGGTCCCCTGGGGGCTGCTGAGCAGTGACTGCGCTGGTTGGACATCTCTGCAGAGAACTTTGGGGACAGCCAAGTGACCAGAGAAAAACGGAGCTTCTGCAAGACCAAAATTTCCACCTCCTCCAGATAGTTGTATCCCAGTTTATTCAGAAAAATCTCTGAAGTTACAGCAATTTCCATAAGATTTCTATGGGGCACTCTCCCTTCCTTTCCACAGACAGAGGAGACAGACCATCTGACAAAACACCTTCTTCCTTTTCTCCCTCCACAGCAGGAAAAGCCATTGGACAGGCTGTTGTCAAGAACTCCTTAAAAATGGATCACTTTTCAGACTCAACATCTGCTGGGCCTCACAATCCACCACAATATACAGATCCAGGGGAAAACTGGCTGTTTGGAGTCCAGCGCTCAAGAATCATATACTGCCCCTCGCTTCCTGCTCTCTGTGACATGTTGTCAGGGGCTAGTTGCAGAAGAGTAACAAAACTAAATGCCATAGGAAACAGGGAGAAAAGGGGTTTACATATGAGAAGGATCCCTATAACACCGGCAAAACCTAAGCAGCTTGAGGAGGAAGAGATAAAGTCTACCCTTATCTTCCCAAAGGCAAATTTCTTGGTTTAGAGTGTGCACTGAGGAAAGAAGATGTTTGTTTCATCAGGCTGCAGAGGAGACACCATCCAAGAAAGCAATTTGCCCTGGACCAAAAAATTTAATTTTTTATAGCTGGGAAAGGCCCCAAATGCTGTGGACTGAAGAATACATCTAGCAGGTGTTAGACTGCCTGTTAAAGAAACCTGGACTATAAGAGGTATCTTGAGTGGTCGTTTCTACCCTAAATAGGAAAAGCAATTCAGGCAACAAAGTAATCAATTATTCCTGACCCTGGGGGTAACCTGAGTGCTGGTGGCAAGGGCTTCTGGAGTCAGCAGCGGCAAGGTTTCCTGGCACAGATCCTGGCCCTAGGTCAGGCTGTTGCCTGAGGCAGGCTCTGATGCTCCTGGCTCTATTTTTCCTGAACAATAATTGCTGGACAGCTGTAAGCAACAGAACCTGGTTCCAGTGCCCAAAAGGACTCTGAAGGGCTTGCATCCATGTGAACAAGAAGCACTGCCTCTGTTCCTGTGTAGTAAACAGAAGCCACTGCTCCCCTGCCCGTAGGGGTGACAGTAAATACCTCCACTACTGTACACATTAATCCGAGCTCTAAGCTTATTCACAGGCCCTAAAATCAGAAGCTGAGACACTTAATCTGTTGATTCGCTCTAATGCCGGGCGGCCGCAAATGAGATTGGCTTCCCCTGTTACATGAGCTCTAAGCAGCTAACGCGGAGCGTGCATCCCCCACACGCAGCAAAACCTTCCCCGCTCCTTTCCCAGGTAAACCAGGAGGCGCCTCCTGAAGAAATATCCCTTCCCAAAGCGCGCTGCCTGGCGCCTGTTGCTGCATCCCTCTGCATCCCTGGGCAGCGGGCAGGCGCTGAGCCCGCCGGGGCTGTCCCGGGGCACGGCCCCCTATCCCGGGGCACGGCTCCCGGCGCCGCCGGGGGGAAGGCGGGCAGGGAGGGGCCGGGGCCGGAGGAGGAGCCCCGCCCGCTGCTCTTAAGCGCCGTGACCGGCGCTGCCCCGCGCTCGGCAGGGCCATGGAGGTGGCGCGGGATTGCGTGGGATCGCTGCTGCGGTGAGTGCGGGCACGCTCCATCCCCTTCTCCATCTCCTTTTCCATGCCCTTCTCCATGCCGGCCGCAGCTCCGGCTGCCGGGGATGCCCGAGGCTGAGCAGCCCTCGGTCGGCTCCGGCGCTGCGGTGCGAGGGCGGCGGGGCTGGAGGGGGATTAACCCCGATGGACGCTGCGTGGGAGAAGCAGGTCAGGACGGTGTCGCAGCCCTGCGAGCCGGCTGGGGCTCCGCGGAGGGAAGCGCAGGTAGGAGCCCGGCAGCCCACCCTGCCTTTGGGGCGCGGTGGCCGCTCGGTGCCCGAGGCTGCTGGCCACAGGCTCGGTGATGTCACCGAGCAGCCCGTCCGGGGGTGCAGCTCCGTACCCCGCTCGGGAACACATCCGCTGCCGGCTGCGCTTGTGGCAGCTCCTGTTTGAGCTGGGCAGCTCCTGTTTGAGCGGGAGAACCACGCTGCGACCTGACTGAACCCCAAGTCTCCTCACTAATTCCCGACCTTTTTCTATTTTGTTTTGGTTTTTTGTTTTCTGTTGTTTTGCCTGGCTGTTACTGCTGCTGTCCTTTGCCAGTGAACCCTAACCTAGAAATCAATCCGTGCCGGATCCTGGAGCGTGTTGTGCAACGCTGGCTTTTCTGAGTGAGGCTGAAGACCATTGCACCACATTCTTAGACAAACATAAGGGGCATATTGCAAACAAAGATAAAGAGTGAAATGTGTGTACAGGGCTCAAGGCAGGCTTTTAATCCCCGTGTCCTCGTAAAGAATTAATTCATCTCTCCCACCAGATTTGACACTAGAGTGAATGCTTGTGGCAGCATTTGTGAAGCCCTCTCTAGTAGATTGTAGTTATCCAAAACAAACTGGATAAGATGCTAGTGTTTGAAGGTATTTGATCTTTCAATTATGAAATATTTTTGTATTTTCCACAGATGTGGAATTCCTTCTTCCTTTAGGGAAGAGCCGGGACTTGATCCTTTTGACTTTAAAGATTAATAAAGCAACAGTGGATTTGTCTGTATTTAATGTGTCACTCAACTTTCTAGTAAAATCAACTGCACCTTAGCTCATTTCCACCACTTGCTTCATGACTTAGCCTGATCAGCTTTATAATAGGAAATTATTTTTGGTAACTCCAGTCTAATAGAGGATTTCCCTGTATCAGGAATTGGTTTGTCTGTGTTTTGAAGAAGCTACAACAAGACTGGACCTTTCTAAGAGCTGTGAATGTAAGCTGGCCTGTTTGAGCCTATGATCTAGGAAGGAGAGTGGCACACAAAATAAAAACAAGCTTTCAGCAATTGGCCCAGAAATGGAAGGGTTCACACTGTTTGTCTGGCTGCTTTTCATCATCCTGCCTTTTGTCTCCTCATTAGCTGAAACCTCAGCCTGCCCTGGAGCCCAGACTCACTTCTTTACAACCAGGCTTAGTTTAAAGATGATATTGACAGGTTTTATCAATATGTAGGTGAAATTTCACCACTGTTAAATAACTTCTGAAGTTCTTTCCTGTTCAGTGACTGTCTGGTGGCAATAATGTAAGCCCTGATTTATTAATCTGTTTGTTTTTATTGCTCTGACTTTAAATAGAGCTAGGCAGCAGTGTGGGGAGGCTGATCCTGACTCCTTGAGAAACTTCTGCTCAGAGCCTCGAAGTACAGCTTGTAGAGTTGGCTGGGGTACACTCTGTTAGCTCAAGTCCTGCCCATGGGCTGTGTCCCTAACATTTCTCATTCTCTGTCAGTGTGTGTGTATGTTTTGGCTGTTACCCTTATGCTTTGTCTTTTGTGAATGACAGCTTGGCTCAAGTAGTGGGAAAGAAAGCTTTTCAATGGGACTGATATTGACTGTCCTTACCAAAAAAAATAAAAAATTGGAGTACTCACATGTGTATCACTCAGGTTACCATTCTACACATAAGTTTTCGAATTTGTGAGAGGCAATGAGGTGTAATCAGCTGTGAAAGCTCTTGAAACCCCAGTGCTGCACTTTTTGCCATCAGGGTGCCCTGTGAAGTGATGTCACCAGCCCCAGAGTAGGTGAGCAGGCTTCCTTCCTGAGGGAGAGACTCAGTGATTCAGAATGTGAGCTGCCCACGACCAGTGGGGTGATTGGGGGCCCATTACCTGAGTCAGCAGAGAGATTGGCAAACAGGGCCTGCCCTAGCAGGCTTCCCTCCTCTGAGGCTCCAATGCCCTTGTCAGTGCTACTGTCTCCATGTCCTCCTCCCTGGCCCTCTCCCTTTTCCAGGAGGAATAGTGTTTTTTAGCTCTTTAGTACGAAACAGTGTTTGTTCCTGAAAGCCAAGCTGGCTGCTTACCCTCTCCAGCTTTGTCACAGGAAGAACAAGGTTTCCATCAGTCATGTGTGTGTAAATGCCAGTGGGTGAAAGCCACTGTATTGTCAGGACTAGTAACAAAGAGCATGAGCTGGAACAAAACTGCTGAATGTTCTCCTCCTTTAAAAACATTAAAGCTCCAATAATGCCAGGGAGTTTTTGCGGAAGGCATAAACTTATTGTTTAGAGGAAGGGTGATAGCCCAGAAGAGTGGTTCAGAATTGGATCGGTAAACAAATTATTTGCTGAAATCTGAATCTGGTCAGGCAGAAAAATTACATTCTGTGCATTCCAAAAATATGCTTATAGACCAGATAAGAGTTGTGGAAAAGATATTTATTCTGCACAGTTTGTGTGCATTTGCATCAAAGGTGGGACTGGGACATCATAAGTCGAGTAACTTTATACCATCCCATTGTTGTTCTGGGAAGTCCTGTATTCACTCTCTGGCTGCAGATAAAAGCTGGCAATTCACTCTACCCTCAGTGAAAGTGTCTGAGAATAGATTTTCCTGCATAAAGTTGACTTTTTACACCTATGTGGGAGAACAAAATGGGGGATGCATCCCTTTCCCATCCCTGAGCAATTCAGCATGAAGGAGCCAAAGGTATATACAGAGGGTGAAGTCCAGGAGTGTGGGAGACAAAATACTGCCTCCCTTCAAAAGACTTAGAAATCAGTCCTTCCCAGGTGTTGGGCAGAATGCCATTTCTGGCAAGCTGAGTATTGACTTAGCCATTATCATTTGGCAGAAAAAATTGTCTCTAGGTGTAGATGAGAGCAGATCTGTACGTTGGTGTGGGAGTAGGCTGTTACTGGTGTTATGTGCTTGGTTTACCAAAGGTAAATATGGAATTGCCCAGAAAAATCTAAAATCTCTTTCTAAGAGGCACTCTGCTGGCAGTGCCTCACTGGCAGCCTGTCCAACACTATGTATTTATGTACTTGGATATTAACTTTGATTGCATTTAACTCCTTCTGATACAAGCCTCTTATTTTGTGCTTTTCAAAACCAGATGGAGTTTTATAGGCTGCAGATATAATTTACAAACAAATGCCTTGACTCTTCGAAGTCAAGTGTAGCTGTATCACAAAGCTCTGCTTGCATTCTGCCAATGGGTGTTTTGAATATGGGTAATATGTTCAGTCTTGCTGAAACAAACTCTTAACACACAAAAGTGCTTTCAACTAATTATATATCTCACTGAGTGTTTATCTTGTAAATTAAGAGAATGAGCTAAGTAAATGAATGTAATAAGAGTTACTGCCTTTTAAATTCAGTTTTACAACCCATCAGCTTCACTGTGATTGTGACCTTGACGTCAGCCGAGCTAGACATGTCTGCTTGAAATTGTATTAATTTTAGAAGTCTTTCCAAATGTCATGGGCAAGAGAGAGTTCAGAGATAACATATCTGTAGGACAGTGCAGTATTTAGTTTTTAAATTAAGCTCCAAGAGTCTTAGTGTGATCTGTGAATTACTTGTATAATCTGATTATGTCAACTGTCTTCCTCCTTCTTGCAGTACTTGACATGACTGTTTTTGTAACTCTGTTGAATTTTTATTTGTCTTAGATCTTTCATATCCATGGGAGCATCTGTAGGAGCAGTAACAAAACAGACCCTGTTCCCTCCGCTCATGCCTGCAGGGCGCCCTTTCCGTGTGTCCAATGCCTCCCGGAGCAGCCGGAAGGGAATTGTTGCAAGCAGCCTGCAAGAGCTCTTCAGCAAGGTACAGCAAACAGTCCCACTCTGACTGAAGCTTACAGGGAAATACAGTATCTCAGAAAGACAGCCCACAGACTCTTGTTCTAAAAAAACCATCGCTAGGGGAGTATTTCAGATAAGCAAGTCTCAATATGAAAGGATGAACTCTTTAGAATGTTAAAATCTCCTGGGTTTTTTTTTTTCCAGACTTTGGATGCCTTCTTTATAACTGCTGGAATAGTTACTCTGGTTTTGGAGGAAGATGGCACAGTTGTGGACACAGAAGAGTTCTTCAAGTCCCTGGATGATAATACACATTTCATGGTTCTGGAAAATGGACAGAAATGGACACCAGTAAGTGTTGACTGTGTCTCTCTCATTTGAGTAGAAATGGATGGAGGAATGTTTGTGGCTGCTAAAACTTGTTGGAAAGAGGGGAGAAGAGGAAGAAAAATTCCTCTGAAGAGCCACGGTGCAAACTCCTTGTTGAGACTTCCTGGATGAAAAATCAAGTTCATGTTTTTTATTGTCCCTTGTTTGTACATGGATCTGTTGGCAAAATCCACCAGGAATTGAAGTAAAACATAATAACTGAAAAACTTACATGAAAAATAACCTGCTTTTGGAGAAGCTCAGAAATATTTGTTCTTGAGCCTTTTTGTAACATAAAGAAAATTAGGACTTTGACTCTATGAAGTTAAAAAAAAATACAGTGTCTTTAAAGATTAGATTTAGACTGTAAAAATGCTCAAACAAAGTAGTATAAAGCAAGTTCTGCCATCTGAAGGCAGTAATAGTTAATGATAGTTAGAAAAATGCCTTGATTGATTTTGCAAATAGCCAGAAGTTGGCATCAGAACCTAATGTTAGTATGCATGCTTCAAGATATTTAAGATCTCTTAAAACTTGCTTGCTTTAGCCTTCTAATCATATGAATTCATTATTCAATTATTTCTTTTATGGGGAAATAGTCATCTGTACATTAATAACATAGAGTCAAACTCGTAACTTTTTTTCCATGAGATGGTTGTTGCTCTGAATCTGGCATCAGAATTTTTCTACCAGCTGCAGAGCTGGCTGTGGGACTGTAAGCAGGGACACCATTTTTGTGCCTGCACACATAAAGCTCGACCATGTGGCCCTGTTTTCCAGTCTCCTGTTGCAGTGTGGGCAGCCTGTACGTTTTTCTCCCAAATACCTCACTGGTTTTTCAAGCTCTGCACCTGGGGCACGAGCTCCAAGGGCAGAAAAGGAGTTTCAGCCAAGGTGTGACTCCACCTTGCTCCTTTCCCCTGTCTCCTGTCTGGCATTGCAGCAGCACAAGTTTGAAGGCAGCCCCTCTTCAGAATGTGCTGAGTGACAACAGAGGGATTGTCACAGCTTCACCAATCACCTGGAGTGTAGCACCAGCCCGGTCCTGCTTTATCCAAATATTCTGGGTGCTAATGGGGAGGGGTGTGGGGAGATGCTTCCAAGCACACCAACTGCTCGTACATGCCCGAAGCTGTTGTTGATAGGGGACCCTGTTGCTGGAGCTTGGAGGTTATCAAAGCAAAACAGGCATAAAATTGCTGGCTAGTGATGTACTGCTGTGTTTAACTTTGTCTGACTTATCACGACACTGTCTGAGGGCTGGGGTGTCAAGTACCAAAAGGCCCAGTCTTACACAACTTTATTGCTTCATTTAGCCTGCAGAAAACAGCCTGGCAGCTGCCAGCTCATTAACCTTGAGCGGAATGTGCTGAGCAGAGGATCCCGTGTATCCACTAGATGTCTCTGTGAATACGGGTTCTCTTTGCTATTTTCTTTTTGATTTTCCTTTCTTGAAGCACACACCCTGCAGCAGAGAGGGCTGCTTTCAATAAAGGAGGGTGCATTTAAGGTGGAAGATGACTTTTTTTATGCTCCCTCTCCTTTGCTTTTCCTCCTGAAACCTCATTATTAAACCCTTGGCCTAATCAGCAGTGGTTCCCTCCCTGTGTTCCTTTTTAGTAGGAAGAAAGATGTTGTGAGCCAGGTTTTGAAATGAGTCCCTGACTTTTCACAGATGTCATCTTTGACTCTGTCTCCAAGAGTGCTCATCAGTACTGTGTTCCTGACTAAGCAGAAGGACCTGATGTCATCCTGGTTATTTGGTGGTCTAACCTTGCTGCCTCAGAGAGAAGCCAGAAAGTGCCAGGATAAATAAATGGCAGGAACACTGTCTGGTGGCATTACCTGTGCCTTCAGTGTACTCTGAAGAAGCTCTGTTATGGAAAATAAATATTCCGGAGGTGTTCTGTCACTCTAGAATTTTAGTGTCTGTTTGGAAAACTTCAGAAGCCTGTTCAGGACTTGGAAAAACAATACATGGTCTACAGACCTTCTTTTCTGTGTGCTAATGATTTTAATTCTAGTTTAGAATTGACCAAAAGCTAGTCCCAAGACTGGAGTAAGCAAAGCTGCTTCTGAACAGCTCCACTGTTAACAGTTGTCTTGCTGTAGTTTTCTGTGTCATGGTATAAACTGTCTCTCTCTTTTTAAATCAGACAAAAAATGGAGTTGTCGCTGTGAGAAAAAAGAAGAAAATGGGAGTCGCTAACATCACCTTTGATCTGTACAAACTGAACCCTAAGGATTTTATTGGCTGCTTAAACATCAAGGCAACCTTCTATGAGATCTACTCTATCTCATATGACATCAAATGCATGGGAGCAAAAAGTGTATTGCGGTGAGTGTTTCCACTGCTGGGCAGGTGTACATGCTAATGTAAAAACCCCTGTTTGCTATTGATTCTGTGAAGCAGGTGTGTTTATAAAATCAGGATTTTTGTTATTTCTTACATACTGGTCAATATGCTGACTCTGTGAGGTGCATAGCTGACTGGTAAAAAACTTCCTATGGCTTTTTATGATGGAATCTTAAGTTTCTGCCGAGGCAAAACTCTAATCAGCTTGTACTTACTGAACGGGTGTAAGTAGGGTTTCTTTGTTCTGCTGAGAGAATTTCCTCACATCTCCTTGACTTGTTGGTCTGAAGAATGCAGGAGACTGGGGAAAGAAGCTCTTTGAAGAGGAGACTTCAAGGGGATGAAATGAAAGGAATTTGAGATCTAATGTCAGGGGTCTTAAAGCTTGGTCAGACATTGCAGTTCCTGCTTGCCAGATTCACCACTAGAGCTACATGGAGGCAAAGGAAAATGGAAGAGAGATGACACTCTGCTCTCCTAATGTGGATTTGTCATCTGTAGTAAGACTCTGTGGTATCACTGTTCTTAAGCCAGCTGGTGTGGTCTCTAGGCTAGCTAAGGGAGCCTGTCAAGGACCACTGTCCCCTGCAGGACTGATCTGCTGTGGGCTGTGAGTTTGATAGATCTGGCTGTTGGGAAAAGCTGTCATTCAGGGACAAAAGTATACCTGCCCAATTCACTGTTTTCAGCAGTGGGTTGAAAGTTGGTGCCTTGTCAAGATCAGCTGTGCTCTGCCCTGGCCAAGGAGACTGCTGAGCTCAGACCCCTTCCCAGAGGCGCTGTGCTTTGACAGTAGTTTAAGCTGCACCCCCAAGTTTCTCTACCTGACTTTTAGCATTCTGGTTGAGACACAATGGTGTGCTGCATTTTATTACTTGAGGACCAGATCTGACAGACAGATGTACACATCATCAGTGAAGTTTTGCCTTGTCCTGAGTGACATGTGGCCTTTAGATGAAGCAGTCCTTCCTCTCCCGATGCAGGTATGCTGATCAGCACTGTAATGCTGATCTTCTTCCCTGTCCCTCAGTCTCATTGACCTCTCCCACTCTACTTGGGTGGTCCTTAATCTTTCAGGCTACAGCTAGTGTGGCTGGAGACAAGACTCCTCTCTGGTCAGGATGAAGTGATTATCCAGCCACATGCTACACCCACCTGTAACACAGACTTCATTAGGGTTTCTTCAAAGCAGAGGTTTGCCCTTGGACAGCTGCATTCCTCCAGTTCTTGTGTTTGTCAAACTCTCTCGAGCCAAAACAAACTGATCTCTGGATGCCTGCTATGGAACTGAGTATCAGCGCTGGAACTTGTGCTGCTAAGGGGAGTTTGAAGTGACAATTCTGCCTTCCTGCCAAGACAGGGCAGCTGGTGAGAAGGGAGCGGTGCTGGCAAACAGCTGAAGTAGCTGTGGAGTTCTTCTGGAAGCCCTGTTATGTTGCAGAGTTGAGCTGTAAGGGAAGTGTCACTGTCAGGGTGGGATGACAGTCTGCTAGCAAAGAACAGGGTGACAGAAGACATAACCTTGGGTACCCTTGAACACAACAGTGACACGGCCTGTCTCAGCTTGCTGTTGAAATCAGAGACAGAGGATGTCAGGATCCTGGTGCAGTCCCTCTGCTAATGAGTTCCAGATTGCTAACTCCGATGCCCTCTGCCCGAGCCCACATGCTGAGTGGAGGGAAAGGGTTGAAAAATGCTGCAGCTGTTCGTGATGGGAGGGGCTGGAAGCCTGCCAGGTCTGATTAGTGCATTTCCCCTCGTGGTGTTTCCCTGTAGTGTCCGACTGAAGGATCAAATGTCCAGTTCAACAAATAACTTGCTCTGTGGCTTAAGTGGCAACTGCTCCTGCATGCAAGTGACACACTGCAGCTGCTGCAAAGCCCAGCGCCAGGTGCAGCTTCCTTTGCAACTGCAAAGCTCCTTGGCCTGTCCTGTGCGGTGGAGGAAGAACAGGCTGCAGTGGCACGTGTGGGAAGCATGAATAAGGGTACAGTGTTCTGTAAAGGCTTCACAGGCTCTAAGCCTGGGTATTCTGCTCTGTTGAGGCATTGGATTTCATCTGCAAACCTTTCATGACAGTGGGGTTAAAAATGAATTTGTAGGAAGATTTTTCCTTCTCTGCTTAAGCTCAAAGGACAAGTGAATAGAAGCAGAGGGTTCACAGCTGCATGTTTTCTTAGACAAGAAGTCAGAAAATCTTTTTTTTTTTTTTTTTTTTTTTTCAGAAGAGAGACTGATCTGGTTTCTGTATCTTCAGAAATTGATCCCATTCCAGTTTTTTGGTACTGCTTCCCAATGCCTCAGCATCATACTTGAGTGCCCTCCTAACTTCTGGGGGATGAGACTCAAATGTAGCTCTCAGTACTTGCGTCCTTGTTGTTTCCTGCAGAATGGAAGATGCAGTTACAACTAAGTTGAATAAATGACCGTTCAAATATGACTATCTCTTCCCCTGTGAAGATACACAGTTTACATTGTCAACCTCTGATGCTTGCCTGATGTTATCTTATGGATTTGTACTGATTCTTACGCAGCACTTTATACTTGAATGCTGATTTTATCAAATTTGTAGAAAATAAAGTAGTTGGGAACTGAGAATTCTTAAATCTTGCAGCAGTAACTTTCCTGCTTTGCCTGTTTTGCTGTTGAGTACTCACTGTAATGTGATTGTTCAGCTTCAGATCTAATCAGGTTTGTTCTGTGGCTTGAAGACACATACAGCGTTGTGTTAGTGAATGACCAAGGTGAGACGTGAGGTGAGTTTATGCTGCAGGAATGCTGCTCCCAGGCAAAGTTGTTTTCTGTGGTACTGTGATGGTTTGAGTGATGGCTTTGCAGAAGGCCTGTAAGCATCTAGCAATATGTCAGTCTGCTTTGTTGAATGTGATTTCTAGTCCTGCCAGAACATGTCAATAGTTTTCTGTCCATCAAGGTGCAAAAATGACCATCTCCTCAGAAGTGAGAAGGAATAAGAGGGGTTTTTAAATATATTGACTTAACTCATCATAACGTTGTGGGTGGAAAGGGGTAATGTAATCTTGCTGATGATTTTTTTCTTAAACAAATGACTTTTCTTCCAGGAAAGTGCTTCAGCTCATGTCCCATGCAGCACAAATAACTGGACAGTTTCTGCTCTATACTGGAACGTACATGTTGCAGTTGATGGGTGAATATGATGAAGAAGACATGTGCATGAGATCCAGGCGGGAGTAGTGACCACAGCTGCGCTTCCCATCTCCAATCCTTTTGCTCACAGACGTTCTCTTGCCCAGTTCTGATTGTAACAATGTTATAGTAGGGGGATGTGCACTAATGTGAGCTAACATTTTTCCTGTTTGGGAGCACTTGTAGGCCTTAGTCATGAAGTGTTGGATGTTCACAGGCTCTTAACACCACAAAAAGATGGGTGCCTAATGTCTGAGAATCTGGCACAAGGAGAGACAGGGTGGGTTTTTGCCCCAGAAATTCAAAATGAAGAATTAGTATACTTGGAAACTTTAGTGCTTTGTAACCAATGGAATATTTTTCGCACCAATCAGTTTTGTGTGATTATTTTTTGTTTGTTTTGGTGTTTTGTTGTTGTTTGTTTGTTTTTCATGGCTATCTACTTGCATTCTGAACAGACTGGGCAGTAAGGTGGGGGGCATGGGAACTGTGGGAATTGTTTGTTTATTTGTTAGTTTTAATCCTTAACAGTGCTGGCATTAGTGTGAAGCTGACCTTGAGGTGAAGTGTACCTATTTACTCCTGCTGACAATGGAACTACACAGTGCAACTTCAGTCCTACTTCAGTGACAGACTCTTCTCACAAAGTCTAAATGGAGATTGTGCAACTACTAAGCAGAAGGTTAAGATTTAGCTTTCCTGCCCTTGAAACAAAACCTTTTCTTGATAGTTCTTTATATTTTTTTTTTCAAATCTTCAGGATGTTACAGCTCATACAGTGGAAGAACCTGATACATTTTCTTAATGAATCTGATGCCCAGTTCTGCCTGAGCATTGAATAATCTGCTGTGGTTTCATAAATATGGCTTATAAGCAATCTGCTAAAGCTTTTTTGGGGGGTTAAACCACCACTTCTGAAGTTTTTACTGTTACAAGATGACACTAGGTGTCAAGCTGGGCTTGAGGTACATGTAAGAGATGCTGGATATCTTGTTGCCCTTGTGTTCAGGGGAGAGCAGCAGGACATTGTCTAGTCTTGCATGACATACATGTATGCTCTAAAGTGAGTATTTGTGGTGTTATGATCTCCCAGGACAAGCTGTATTAGAGGACAAAGTAATGTTTCCTGCAGTTTATTGAACTGTTGCTATGCCCAGCTTTCAGTAAGCTTTTCCTCAACAGAGTGAAAAATTGGAGAGCAAGCAGCCTAGGCATCTTGTGTCAAAATGCAGACTCACATGAGTGAAGGAAAAAAAGCCCAGTTTTGGTTGCTCACAGGTGTAGCTTTTGAGGTTTTTGTTTGCTTGCACATGAAGAGCTTTAGGAAGGCTGAAAGCTCTTAAGGTGACATCAGATGCAGGAAATTCTGTCCTGACAGTAGGTGCCACCTAGTAAGAGAAGCTCTGGTGCAGAGAACAAGTGGGGCAGGAGAGGAAATATCAGTAGGAGCAAAGGGAAAAAGACCACTATGGACCCTACAGTTCTTGCCTTGCCTGAGACAGGAATCCATTAACTGTCTGCACCAACTGCACTGACCTGATCTGATAAAAGAGAAGCAGAAAGTGGAAAAAGACCACTATGGACCCTACAGTTCTTGCCATGCCTCTGATTCATGGAATCCATTAACTGTCTGCACCAAGTGCACTGGCTTGATCTGCTAAAAGAGAAGCAGAAAGGTGCAAAAGATGAAGTATCTTGGTTGGTGGTATCTATTCTGACCTCTTAGCTGTGTCTCTTCACTTCAAAGTTCACTGACACATGGGAAATTGCTCTTGCTTTTAGCTGCAAATCTCACCTTTGTGTGCTTATTTTTCCTTCCCCCTATGAGTGTGGCTGTGCCAGTTGGAGCTGCATCTTTCAGATCACTGTTGAGAGGAAAGGCAGCCTAAACCCATGTGCTAAAGGGACTGATGGATACAATTTTTGGTCGGTCTCTACCCATCTCTTAAGTGATGGTATTACAAATAAATAGACAGCTAAGAAAAACTTTGTCCTTTTTTTCCTAGTTCCTGTTGTTTCCCATCTACTTCTGAGCATTTGCTGGAGGAGTCAGAGGGCATACTGCTCCAGATAAGGGGAGGACATGTTCTTTCCTGATTTCTCACAGCAGAAAATGCTTGGAGCTTGCAGCACTGTCAGGTGTCCTTCAGAAGAAAACAACAAACTATTCTGGGAGTAATGAGAAAGCTTCCATTTTGATATAACCTCTTTATGTTTTATCTCTATTTTTCTTGACACCCCCTGCATAAATGGTTGTTGCCATGTTAGTTGTTGGCCAAATTCTTTCTTTCCCTGTCAAGGAATTGCATTTAACTGACTATACAAGGACACAGTAATTAATTTTTTTGTCTTTTAAGGACCACTTTCAAGCACACCTCTTGAAAGCAAATTCTCTTAAATGCTTCTATGAATATTTATATTGCCTATGGTGGGAGCACCAGCATTAAAAGAAGGTAAAATAACCAGAATAGCTCATTGTTGCTTTGTTTGAATTGCTTCTTCAACATCTGTAGTACAAAAGCTTGTGCAGATCCCAAATTCCAGCCTTCTCTAGCCAGAGGCAATTGTTACAGGACTAACACAGTTTACAGTGGCTCTATCTGGGAATCCAGCAGTGATCTGAAAAGCTAACCTGCTATGAATGTGCAATGTTTTTAAGCAGCTGCTCCTTCAACAGCTTAACACTTAAAACTTGAGCTGGTGAAGTTCCTGTGTGCAGCAGTCTCCATCTTGGAGCAATTCCCTCTGTTCAGCTGTTTGCATTTTGAATTAAAGTTGTTCAGCTTTGGTATTTTCTCAAAATGGGAGAAGTGTCCTGAAGTTGTGTCTAAAATTCCTTCACTGCTTCTGAGTCTGAATCTTTCACAGGCTTAATATTTGGAGGTGATATTTTCTACTGTACCAACTTCTTTCTGGAAATAAAGTTTTGGCTTTGAGTCAAACTGGAGGAGTTTGTCATTCTGTGAGCTGGAACCAGTTTGATTTTTTTTTTTTTTTTTTAGCAGCATGCTTAAGAAAAATAGCTTTTACTTCAGCTGTGTATTGTATGCAGCAGAGAAAAACTTTGACGTTGTCTGTCTTTTAGAAAACTATATACAAGCGCTGTACATCATCTAGCAAGACACAGAAAAACTGAAAACACAGGCTTTTTCCTGCAGGAATGTGGAGAAGTAGCTAGATTTTCCCACAGTTTTATTTCCTATAAACTCAGTGAACCTGCACCTGTTGCTGCTGCAGACAAGGCTGGGAGCAGCGCTGTGCAGAAGGTGTGGAACGTGTTTGCTGCCTCCTTGTTTGCACGGACCCTTTCTGCCTGTTGCTTTGCATCACTTACTGACAATGCACCAAGCCCCGCTCTCTGGTTACCAAAAAAGGAATTTTCACTGAAGTAAGACCTTGTTGACTCAGGCACTGCTCGTGTTCTGCAAACAGAGCAAAGTTGCTTTCTTCTCGACCAGAATGAAGAATCTAGTAGCTTTCATCTGTGTGCAGTTTATCATTACTTCATTTCCTTCCTTTCATAAACTCTTGGAAGTTTTCTTGCACCTTCCGATTCTTTCAGGAGAAAGCGCTTCTGTCCAGGGAGAGAGGAAAAAGCAGGGTCTAAATTCCTGAACTCTTTTGAAATATGCTGTAGGAAACATTATGAATCCCTTCCCTACAGAGGAGGGAAGATAAAAGCAGAAATATTGGACTTTGAGGTGCAATTTTTTTTCAGTGAAGTGTGCAGAGAGGCAGATAATCACAGTTTTGGAAATGCTGGTATTTCTGAATTTTAAATGCAAAGAAAACCTCATCTGATAATTCCTAACTGGCAGAAATCTAGTTCTCAATCATTTCAGTGTGCTTCTTCCCTGAAATCACACTTGAACTAAAGGCACTAGCTACTTAATTAAAAGTTTAAAAAAACCAGTTTAAAACCCAAGTGCAAAGCATATTTTTGACTTGATGCCCCAAGGTTTATTAGAGGTCTTATTGTGATTAACATACCACTTCAGTTATGTGTCAGCAAGTATCCTTGTGGGGCTTAGAGTTTATCACTGCTTTTTCATGGTCATATATGTAGCTAAGATATTTTTAAGTGTAAGGATTGTTGTTTTGCTAAGGGAAAATATAGTATTTTCCCACTTCGCAATTTTTAATCTCAGTAGTTTAGCTTGCTGTGAAAACTGAGATGGGTGAAAATTGCATTCAGTGATGGCAATATTTTCTGCTGTGTGGTGTCAATTTTAAGGAACATCATTCATTAATAAATAAAATCACATAGTGGCTTTGGATGTTGTCTCTATTCATTTCCAGAATAACTTATTCCTGAAATAATCATTAATACTAATGAATGTATGGTCTGGCACAAAGTGTTTCCAAATGCTGGACTGTGGCAGTGAAGTAACTGGATACTATTTTGTGGCTCTGAACTCCTAACTCCCTCCTGCTGACTCACTTTCTGGCC